TGTAATCAGAACAAAGAGGGATGAGCAAATTTGTTGCACAGACGATATGTGATATGTTAAAATGACAAAAAAACGGATCATTGTTTGTAATGGTAGCGAATTTATTGTATTCTGAACAAATCATAAGTCAACAAATAAAAATTTATAATTCTTACAAAAGTATTTCTCTCAGTGTACATATGTATTCACACACATAGGACCGGCTTTTGGAAACGAATAAGATATGGAAAGGATTGAAATTAAAAACAGAGCGAGAGCGGGAACAAATGTGTTAAGGAACGAAACGCATACACCGTGCGCCCATACTTGAAGCACGCTACGATCACTGCGCATATTATACGCATACTTTATGGAACTTTTGGATAATAACTTTATGGACTTGTTTGCCGTTTTGAATGTGATCAATTCTAAAAATTAACGTGAAAAAAAAATTTATAAGTGTCTGAAAAGATTATTTTTTTGTATGTTTTTTACTTGGCAAAATTTTCATGGAAAAGCTCTTAAAAAAAATTCTATCTTATTTATTAATATAAATCTAATTTATACGCAATTGGATTTTTCTAAATATTTTTATCATATGTAACTTGCATAGATAATATTACATCTTTTTGTTATATTTTATATTATATTTTTATATTTTATAGAATCCTCTGCTAAAACGATACCCGTATAGAACAAAAACTTCACACAACGTTGTTTACACAACGTTATATGAATGTTTGAACAACGTTGAAACGTTGTACAACTTCCATAATATCTAAATGTACAGATTAAGTACATAAAATGTTGACTTTCTAACATCACTTTCTGTGAACACTTAGATGTTGTCCGAACGTCATATGAAATTTTTATTCTATACGAGTATAATCATTAATTGCATTAAAATGTATTGTTTTTTAATGATATAGAATCTGATAGTGAATGCGTACTTCGATCTATTTATCACGCGCATAGAAAAGTACACAGGAACATCGTTTAATTGTTGCATAGCGTATTCCATTCTTTCTTACATTTTATGCAGTTTTTCACAGCATCAGATACTTTACAATAAAGTAATAAAAATTAAAGTAATAAAAATTAAAGATCAAGTTTACATATCACATGCAGCAAGGCCAATTGTGCGCAGTTGTATAGATACGACGCAGTGGGTTTTTTATATCAAATAATTCTTCCGGACTGATTGAGTGTTTGATAAGCTGAGATACTGCGGCATAAAGGTACTGAAACGAAATTGAGTCGAAACGTTTCTATCAGTAATTTTGGATCACTACTTTTGTTAAATAATAATAAACAATATATTCTTTTGTGCCTTGACATCCGCGCTTCGGTTCATAGCTCTTCTTTTGATATACATTTTTATAATTAAAGTAGTCTGCCTTCCCAGAAGTTGACGTAATTGTAGACGCACAGCGTGCGCGAGGCGAGAAAGTGGGAGATTGCTTCCCGTGCTCGAAATACGATTGGAAAGGATTGAGCTTTATCAACGGAATTGAAGTGACGAAGTGTGGATGACGTAGGCACGCCTTTAGCATATAATGCAGACCTACCGCAAAGAACGGTAGGTCAGAATCGAATACTGGGAATTACGAATATGCGCAATGCACTCGCAATTTGTAAATAACTGATGGAAAAGCTGGAAAAGCTGGAAAAGCAAAAGCGCGGGCTCAAGCAGTTATTGTGTAATTATGTATAATTAGTTCATTCGCAAGTCGTATTGGTTAAAAATATTAACTGATAATTAATGATACAATCACAGTTTTTTGATGCAGTTTTTTTTTGTTTGTTACGTAAGCCTTATTGTAAGCCCAGCGAGAAGTGACCTATCAATCGACATCAAATCGATGTCTAATTGACGTCAAAATCATCGATATTACATCGTATTATGTATATTGATGTTGATTCGACATCAATTCAATGAGTCATTTTTCTGGATTATTTCGCTGGGAAGCCACGCCGATTAGCTACCAATCTGTTCTTACTGCACGATACATCACCCGCACGTAAATTTTTAAACGCGTTTTTCTCGTGAATGCTTGAGAGGTGGGTCCTATTATTTTAGATGAATTAGTGGGAGCGTCATTCTACAACATGTATAAAATTCTGTGAAATTGGAGGGGGCCATTTCTGGTGTTCCCTTGTTAGATTAATATCACCTTATCTCTTCCGTTAGTTGCTTTCGTCTTTTCGATGCGTTAAGTAATAGCTTTTGACCACAACAGGAAGATGAGTTGTTTGTTTGCAATATCATTTCGATGAAATCATACGTCACATGCGTATTTGTGCGCAATAAAATTTAATAGATGATGTAATAAAAAAAAGTTATACGTATAATTAAATAATTTTTCATACAATTCAATGTTTATAATAAAAACGTACAGATACAATTTATTTGTAAAAATAATCCTCATTAGTTTGCAATTTTAGTAGAAAATATACTTGTATCAGTAAAATTTTAGAAAAGTGAATTTCAATATGTATGTATTTATTAAATATGCATTTTGTCAAAATTTTATTATTTTAATTCATGATCTTAAATTGGATAAAAAAATTTTCTTAATAGTAATGCTTACACACAAATAACTGCAAATTACAAAAACGGCTAAATAACACAATTTTTATTTAATATTTTTAATTGTTTCCATTTATTGCTTTGCATGCAGGCTAGTCAATGTAGAATTGTTAGTAGAAATTTGGTGTGGATTCCATGTTACTCGCTTATATGGATATCTTATCGAGACTTGTGGCGCGTTAAAATTTTCTACTGTAGATCAGTGACTACAGTGTCAGTTAAATACATGTTCAATCAAAAATATTTTAAAAATTTTTATGACGATTCTTTGCTCTTCCACAGTCTGTTTATTCTGACAAGAATTAATTGAAAATAACTCTTTAATCATTTGTTCATGTCTGATCATGAATTTGTTTAGCCAGTTTGAGCTTGCATTTTTATAGTTCTTCCATTTATCGGGGATATAAATATTTTTATCTATAGCGTAGTTATTTGTAGTTATAAACTACAAATGATAGTCGTATTCTTATGCAACATTGACAATAACCTAGGCTTTAACATTCTCTTTTTTAGCTATTTGTTTCAAAAAGCCTCGCACTTTCTCATGTGAAAATATAGGTTCTCCGAATTGGTATGCTTCCTTTCCACAAGTTTCATATATACATACGAATACGAATGGATAATAAACTTTCCACAAGTTTCATATATACATACGAATACGAATGGATAATAAACTTTCCACAAGTTTCATATATACATATGAAACTTGTGGAAAGGAAGCATACCAATTCCACATTTTATCATTTCTCTATGTTTTTAATCTTTTGGAACATCTTTGCTCTTAGATATAAATCTATCCAATAAAGTTTATAGTAATTTGCAGTTTTCTTCTATTATAAAAACTAATATTGCTGCTTCGTACCTGCTTTGTAATAATTTTTGCAGCCATAGCGGTGTTTACCGGATACTCTCGTATTGCGACATTTTAATAATCTATAAAAAAAAACAAATCAAAAACTATGATGCATACAAGTTATATGATTGTAAGTAAATAAGTTACAAGATTGTAAAATATTACAATTTACTTCAAAACGGTTTTTGTAATCTACATGTTACGATGTTACCAGTGCCGGTTTTAGAATCAGTTCGCCTCTAGGCAATATTTCGGTATTATGCAAATTATTTTCGCGGCAAACCCAATCTAATTCTAAAATCCAAAGAAAGCACGCATCAGCAACTAATTATTTTATTTAAAACACTAATAAACTCTTTACGTTAATTTAAATATTTGTAATTAAATTTGGAAATTATTTTTACTTTACTTGTCACTTTCAACATGTGTTTTTTCGACGGTTTTTGTAAAAACTGTTTGATCAATTCCCACATAAAGAAAACTTGTTTCATTTCGCAATTGTTTAAATCGTTCATTGTTTTTAGCGACGGATGGGCGCCCTCTCTTGTGGTGTCCTTAGGCGATTACCTATGATGCCTGGTAAAACCGGTACTGGATGTTACATATTTTTTTCTTATTCACGACTAAATCCAAAATGACAAAAACATAAATACTTTTTTAAGAAAGTGTTTTTCGAGCATATCAAATAATAATAAAACTTATGCATTTTTTGAACTGCATTTAATATTTATGTATCATTATTTTATGAAATTATAATGAGATATAATTAACATAAAAATACTTACTAGTTGGAGCGGCAACAAATTTTTCGGAATGACCGTTAAGCAAGTTCATGAAACATGTAGTTTGCGACTAAATTGTTGAGAATTAAAGCAATATTACCAGATCGTTGATCTAAAGGCTATCGTTTGTATTTACAATTAGATAAATAGCGACACGCGCGATATTAAGCGACACACACACGTGCGTGCGCGCATACACGAACGTATTACGCCATAATTTGTAAAATTTGCATAAACATTTAAATAATGTTTATTAAAATTTTTAAATTAAAGCAAAAGAGAGGAAAGAAACCTGGAGAACTTTATATAACGGCAAAGCAACTATAAAGCAATCTGTAATCTATTTATTATTTGTTTTCTGAAAAGTGCATTAATATTTATGAATATTGCTTATTATGTATAATCAAAACTAAATAAATACAATTATATAATAATTGTTTAAAAAAATTAATTCTTTCGATTAATAATTTGAATATATTTTTATTTTACTGATCAACGTTACATCTCCGCTGGTACGCTTCTTGCATCGATGTAACTTTGAATTTGCTCTTGTGACGAGTATTCTAAGATCAAACATAAGCATGTGGCACATATATTGCGTATACATATTTCATAAGTAATTGTCTAGCAGTCTCAGTTTATTTTAGTTATTATCGGAATAAAGCGGAAAATGGGAATTAAAAAACATATTCTTCGTTTGGATACAGAAAAATTAGACAAGTATTGATTAATAAATTATTTCAAAACATTTGTGTGCATGTAACAATAATATATTATTCTATAATTAAAATTTAATTCAAAGTTGCGAGCAATTCTTTTTCAATTTGTATATTAAGTATAAACAAATATGAACAACATATACAATATAACACATCAACGAATTACACTGTTAATTAAAGTTAAGTACAATTAACGGCAAAAGTAGATTGGTCTTCTCGATGGTTTCTTTGAGCGTTCTCGCTAAATGCTTACAATTCAAAACGAACGTCGAATTGAATGGAAGAACATTCGATATTTTTAGGGTTTTTCTCTACGATTTCGGATTATATAAATAGCGATAAGATGTTATCACTTTATTAATGTACGAGATATTCTCTTTTTTTTTTACGGTGTCATGCTAACCAACGTATTTGTAAATGTAAAAACTTGAAAAAAGTTCACGACAGCACGTATGTCCAAAATCGGGACATAAGACATCTTAAAGACATTGTAAAGACGTCTTTTAGATACCGTGTCTAAAAGGCGTCTTACTGACGTCTTTAAGCCGTCTTATGTCCCGATTTTGGACATACGTGCTGTCTGGGATGTTTTCCAAATGCTGCGAGGAAGTGGAATAATTCTCACGGGTTACATTTATATTCTTGATATCCTTTGGTTATTTTTCAAGCGGTCACTTCGTTAGTTGCGCATTTGTCGTACATTGCATCCAGAACTTGGGTGAATTTAAGATGACGTTCTTCCGGGGCAACGGTGGATCCGCGGCTGCCCCACAGAAATTTGATGTGGAACTCGGTACGAAAGGCGTCCGACAGCAGTTCGTCGCTCCTGCAGCCTTCGAGGGCAATTTCCGCGTTTCTGCGAAAAAGCGGTAGGTTTTCAGCTAGCTTGCGTGCCGCCTCGAGATGCGACCAGACGATCGATAGGCCGCAATCAGATGCCGAGTTTTCCCACGGTGAAAGAACAGCTGCTGTGAGTCCTGAGGGCGTTACAGTGCCTGTGGAAACGTAGTGTAATATGCGAAACGAGGAAAGAGAGGAGAATAATTTAACAATAATAAAGTAAGAAAAAAGTGAAAAAAATAGAAAAGTTAGAATGTATAAGAAAGTGAACTCATTATTATCTGTTAATTCATTGATTAATTATTTTTCCCTTTTCTTCGCAGTAAATATCTATTATTTTTTATATACATACCTAAAACGTCTTCGGGACTGCGTTCCCCAAGTAACGCAATCGGTAGCAAATGTGGCAATGTAGTGTTAGGCGCCTGTGGATTGGTACACTCGTTCATAGCCCGCAGTGTAGGCCTGAGCTTCGCCTCAAAGTTAAAAGCCTCATCTGTATGCTTCTGTCTTAGCAGATGCCACGTATTGGCCAGTCTTTGAATTTGCGGCAGGCATAAACCGAGCATCACACCGCAGAAGCCGTAGAGATTGCCGAGCGCGGTTTTTGTATCGATTGCTACTTTGATCCATTTGCTGATTGTAGCTGCCCTTTCTGCGATATTTGTTTAAAAAATCCGATAAAATTGAGTTTTTACTCAATTAATTAAGAAATTAATATCATTAAATCCTCTTTTTGATTAGTAAATGTTAGATTTCTTATATATCTAATATGTATATATTTAATCAATCTTTTGTTTTTACCGTAATTAATGCATACACAAATTATTGATAGATAAAACATGATTCATCTTTTAATCGGAATTTTAGATTGTGTTCTCAAACAATAGAACACAATGTTATTGTTACTGTATATATATTAAAACGTATATAAGAATATTGAATAAAATTTTAAAACAATATATATCGATGAGAAAAATTGACAGCTTTCAAGACTCACCTATCGCTGTAGCGCCAGCCAACACGGTAACCGCCACCAGCAGCTTCAGACATTCCGATCTCTCGATTAGATCCATTCGAGCTTGTCTGCCATGAGGAAGAGTCGCCAGTTCGATGCCGCTCAGTCCGCTTCTGTTTCCCGGTCCCGGCTGAAGCGCCACTTCAAGATCAATCCTCGTAAGATGAGAGGCGAGTACCCTCGGCGCCGAATCTAACAACATTCCCGAAACTCCTCTCAAGGCCGTCGGGTCCAAAGGCCTGTGCTCGCCAGCCGGTAACAGCAATGTCGAGAAACCTTCGATGTCGAGCACCGTAGTGATTTCCAGAGACGGCGCGGCCACCACTAATTGCTCTTCCGCAGATAATTCGTACTCGCTGCCATTGTTGCCGTTGGTGCCATCATAGTTGCTATTGTAGTGGCTGCGTATCACTACGCCTTTAATCGGCGCCGAGGGATTGCTGGCGCCGCCGGAGTTGTTCGCCTCGAATTCACTGTCTCCCGATCCATTCCCGCTGTCGCTGCCGGAGGCCTGGTAGCTCTGATGATGATGATGATGGTGGTGATGATGGTGATGATGATGATGCTGATGATTTGGCACGTAGGGCACTCTGGGAGGCTTGGGTGGCGCCGTACTCAGCGTGTTCTGGAGATTCAACGGTTGTTGTTGTTGTTGCTGCTGCAGAGCTGGATCTGAGATTACTCGAGTGATTTTCTGACGACCCAGGGAGAGAGAACAGGAGGGGGGTTGGTTCTGGATCGGCGGTACCCGTGGCAGAGTGCTAGACTGGATAGGTAGCTGAGGTCCCGTTTGCTGATTGCCATCCCGGGTGACATGTTGCTCGGCACCGTGATGCTGGGCGCTCAATGAATGGCTGCGCTGTTGTTTCCTAGGTAGACGAGGTGGCGAACCGGTGGACAGAGAGGACGAGGAAGGACTAGAGCAGTGCTGATTATTTGTAGATCCAGGAACGTACGTTAACGGAACCGATCTAGGTTTCGGAGTGACGATACGAGCCCCGCTGGCCTGGCTGATCGGCCGGCCGCTGCCGACGTAGAAGGTTATCAGATCGGCGACTGTGTCGAAGGCTTCATCTTCGAACTGATATTGCGCTCTCTCGTAAACCGTGTCTGGCTGAATTACGACCTGGCAAAACATTTTAATCTTTATGGAATAAATTAATTTTAAAAGTGGAATTTTTGGCAAATTTTTGTGTTATTCTATTGTTGAGAAATTAAACTTGAATGTTTATTAATTTAGCTTTCCGGCTTTTTATTTTTATTCTGCAAAATTTATATTAAACTAGTGCGCGATTAAACAATTAAACATTTTTATTCAATATTTTTATTTTTTACATCAATTATGTATCGCAATCTTCTTCGATTTGACAAATCGTCGTCAAACTTACCCGATTGATGACGAAATGAAGCGGTTGGCCTTTCCATCGTACGGTTAGTACGTAATTGCCGGGCTGGGAGGCACAATCACGCACCAAGAAGTCCCCATCATTCGGCACTTCCGCTTCCGCGCCCTTCCGCCCGCCGCGCAATGTACTACCATGATACCAGGCATGCGATCGTAGATCTCGTGGATCGAGAAGCCGCAATTCTCTTTCTAACAGTTTGCGAATAGACTCTTCAGGTGGCTCCTGCGATAAATTAAAATAAATTGAAAATTTTAGTATTTAAATGTTGTCTCTAATTAAATTAAAACGTGTATTCACTGATATATTTTTTCTAAAATAAGACTTTAAACACGAGTGACATTTTAAAGGAGATAATCATTTATTATTCAATAGAAGACGCGTTGCGATCAGTCCTGAACTAAGTCTTTTTCCTCAACATTCTATATATAAATGATGAATCATTATTATATTGAACTCAATGAATATATATTTCAGTGCATTCCTATATCGTTAATGAATTATTGAGATAGAAGATATAGCTATATATCATACATATCACTTCCGCATAAGACAATTCCGCCAATCAATGTAGAAAGGAGATGGAGAGAGAGAGAGAGAGAGAGAGGGGGGGAAAGGGAGAGAGAGAGAAGAAAAGAGACGAGAGACTGCGGTACAGCGAAGATTGGCTTAACAAGAGCAGCCTTGAGCACTCTGTTACAAAGTCGTTGTTCGTCTGCGACTCGTCATCAACGTGCCGCGTCAAGTAGTTCGATTATTATGCCACTCATCATTGCCCGTACTTGAGTATATCGCTGTGTTCAATCGTTCGTTATGCATCGTCTGATGAAGAATTGGTGTTGCCGTTTCAACGATTAAAAATTTAAATTTATAATTGCGTATTTCGTACACGAATGTATATGAAATCCCTTGGTAATATTTATGCTACATTAAAACACACGCGGATCATAAAGCGTTTCTCCTTCTAATTCATGGATTTTCCTATTAATTCGCCATCGTGTCGAGTTGAAAAAGTTCTCCCGACGAAAGTGTTAAAAGTCAAATTTTCAAGATTAATAAGTGAATAATCGAAAGCAAAAGAGAATTAAAACTGCAAGGGGGTGCAGACAGTTCGAAACACTCACCATTGGCGACGAGAGACTGTTGTTACTGTGGGGTGTTTTCGCCGGGAGTGATTCTTGCTCACTTTGAAAACATGCGTGCGGATCCAACCTTGCGTCGCTGCCTCCCGCCGATGTCCTGCAGATCAGAATAAGATCTTCAATCCCTCACATTTTGCGGCCGGACTCATAGGCGAGGTTCTCGTGGATTTTGGTTCCTTCGTCTAGAAGGAGAGCTCCGTGCGGCACTTTAGACGGGTGGATAGGGTTTGTCGCACTCTCGCGAGTCTCTCAAAGCACACGCATGCACCCTACTGACCGGCGCAGGCTGTCGCTTCTCTCTCTCTCTCTCTCTCTTTCTATCTTTCTCTCTTTCCCTCCCTCTTTCTCTTTCTCTCTTTCTCCTTCTCGAGCAGCAGGATCGTATTTTCGGAGGGTACCGCCGGGCACCACTGGATGATATTAATAGATTGCGGGGAAAATACGCGGGAAAAAAGCGAGATGAAAGAAGAAGAGATTGCTTACGCGTGCCAAAGAAAATGTTTTCTTCCTGTCGACTTGTTTATCCGTTCGTACACGCTGCCGGCAATTATCGTAAGTTAAATTTGACGGAACTGCTACGGCGTACAACATGATGAAAGAAAATCGCGATGCTGTTCGTCGAGGAGCTCGGTATACAGTCTTGTTTACCATTTATATGATATTTTGGGTGTGTATAATAACAATTCCGCGTAATAATTAACGCAATAGTGAATATTAATTCAAGTTCGTACTGAAGAGAAAAATAATGCGTGTTGCATCTTACATTTTACTCGATGCAATTTCTATGCACTTCCGAGCCATCGTACGCCACTGCGATGTTATTAACCGTTTCACCCGTTCTGGTCCCACCCACCCCCTTTTCTCGTCCGTCAAAGCAAACGGTTTTGACAGACGTCGGATATCGAAGTACATGCATATGAACGATAGAACGCTTCTCACGTTGCGTCCCGCATCGAAAGATGCAATACAGAATCGAGTGTAAAGTGCTTCATTCCCTTTTATCGCTTTCGAGTGGGTTACTCTGTCGATATATGGGGGTTATTGATCTTCTTGGACAAGGGGCTGCGTATACAGGGGGGTCGACGGCCAAGGTGCGCTTGCGTCATCCGAAAACGTTCGATAAACGGCATCATCGAGATGCACTGCTCGACCCTAGCACTCGCTCGCACAAGAAATGACTTTAAAAGACTCCAATCTTTAATATATTCTGTTTTTAAACTCAATTTTTATTACTGTTGTCATTGGGAATTAATGTTCAATTTTTGCAATAATTTCACGTCGTATTATAATGTATAGTTATTTAATTGTAATGTAAATTTTTATATTATATATCTAGCGATGTAATAACGTATAAGAATAAAGTGTAAATAGAATAAGACGCGAAGAAGACGTCTTACTTGTACAAATATATATATAAAAACATTAATAAATTATAAACAAAGAATTTTATTCATTCGATATGCCCTTTAAAGAGACAGCGCAATTAAAATAAATAACGTAACAAATGAATGACCTGATATTCATAACTGCGCAGCCGTTCGAAGAAAAGTCTGCAAATTGCTTATCTCAACAGACTATAATATTACCGCCACGGGATCTCGTGTGTAGATATAACATTCGCAAAGATTGCTGCCACTATGCATTTGCATCGAGTTTTATCTTGAAAGCACGTGAGAAAAAAAGTATCCCTCTATTCATTACAAGCGATGTTGTTTTAAGATTTGTTTTAAAAACGAAACGAACTCTCATAGGAATTGCTGCGAAATTAATAATGAAAAAATATTTTGAGAATGATCGATAGGTTTCTTTAATTCATCAATCATCGTAACGCTGGAAGTTGAAATAATGTGCATGTATATATTTTTACTTGAAAGTGGATACTGAGATCACGATACATTTCTCAATGGCTGCTTATAATTTTTCGTTTTTGTTTCTTTCTTATAAAATGCCCGCATTTGTCGGCTGCTTGTATACAAGAGCGAGCGCATCATTCTGAAGGTAAAGATCGAGGGAAACCGGTTCGAGAGTCGCCGGACGCATTATACATATTTTCATACCGGTATTTCAACATAGTATCAAAAGCGGCTAATTCGTAAGTTTTAGTTTGAAGCTTTAGATTTTAGCGAAAAGTCGTATTCCTCGCGTACAATACCTAATTTCTGATTGACATTCATATATTTGTACTTCTCGTTTTTATTCTCTTAATTATTCGCACATAGTGATGAAAGGATGGAAAACCCGGCAAATTCTAATAATGTAAAATATAGCAGCAGAATTGCTTGCACTTAACCGGTTTACATAATAAAAGTAAAGTTTATCACAATTTTTCGACTTTCGAATTACTGTGCCGCGTGAAACGCGTCGATATTTCCGCTATCACATTTAAAGCATTCTGTCGATATTTTGATGTTTTACACATACCTTGGGCTATTTTCAGCGAGATCGTCGAGTGATGGTGGAGTCACGATCAAGTACGGCTCTTTCTGAATGATCACTTCCGGTTGTAGATGTATCGTGTGTCTCTTCTGCCGAAGATCTTTACACGAGTCTGACGATGCAAGGTCGTTTCGTTTTCGCCGTCGGCCCGTGGTGCCTAGGTTCTGCAGAGTACCCATAGATGGGAATCGAAAGCTCCATGCTATGCCTGAATGTGTTTTAAATAAATTTACGTATAAAAGTGATCGTCCCTTTCACTGAATTAAATTAATATGCTGAGAGAAAGGTATGCGATACTTGAAGGTATAGTCGCGTAGTAAAATTGTACGTCTAACCATTTTTTTCTTTCAATATGGATGTATATGATATAAACGCGAGTATAGGAATACTAGAAACAATATTTAGGTAATTGTAAAATTAATGATAATAATAAATAAACAATGTGACAACGCAAATTCAAAACGAGGTACATATTCGATCTTAATATAAATGATTCTCATTGTAAGACTGATAGTTTCGCATATAAATGCTCATGTCAATTGCTCTTCTTAAATTGTTAAATCTGCTGTCTGTTATCCTTCTTTAACACATACTCACGCATGCTTGCGCCATTTCCTAATTTTATCGGTTCCATTCCGCACACTGCATTACGATTGTTGTACAATTTTACGCGACAATAATCGACGGTCTCGCGACTATAATTTCATTGCATTTCCGTTCGAATCACATAATATTTTTATCACCATGTTGTCAACTGATATATAAATATGGATGAATAATAAATTCAACCGGATTATCACTTGGGATACAATAAATTAAGCGCATTGAAGACTTTTGCGATTATATGTGCGCGCTCCAACGACTCGCATCGAACTTGAATGCACCACGAACATGATCGGTCTATCGTTGCAGCGACTCGTTCGCGTTTGAAAAAGCGAAATAGTGGAATGCAGGTGTGTGGAGTCGTTTGCTTTTCTCTTTCATATTCGTTATCCACTCTTCTACCTCTCTTTCTTACCTATGCACTCGCGGCGTCTACCTGCCTGTTCACCTTCTCCCTCCCTCTTCCTCCCTCTCTCTTTCTCTCTCCTCTCACTCTTCCTCTCTCATTTTCTGTCTCTTTCGTTCCGCATACTTCATCATTCCTCCAAGTGAACATAATACCTGGCAACGTTGATAAGGTTACCGTTTACCAGAGATATCTATGCGATGTTTAGAGAAGCGCTATCGACCGAAAAAAAGATGAGAGGTAGTACAGGCGAGCGCAACTTCAGTATTCAGAGTTGAAAATTGTGGATCTCAATTGACAATTACAAGGAAATTGATAATTTAAAGTTAAAATAATTCTTATTTTAAAACTGGATAATATTTTGGACCTAATTTTATGATAATTTTTGATTGAAGACAAATGCGCTTGCGAGACAGCGATGTTGTACGGATTAGAGAGATAAAAATAATCTAGTCTCACATGGAAGCATTTCGTAATCCTATTAAATATTTCATTTAAACAGAACGATAATGCAACATTTGGCGAATTATATATTTAAATTATATACGGTAGCGATGACAGTTGTAGAGATAAACCACGTTCAATATTTTGCCGCTCGATACGAGCCCACTTGATAAGGTTCGTGATTTGTTAAACTCTTTGCTCTTGCAAACTTGGCTTACAAAGATAGATCGAAGTAACGAGTCGATAAAATATTGTTTATTTTTCTCTTAAAGAAGTATTTATAGTAAAATTTATTTGCAGTTTATTTTAGATAAAAGATATGTATATTTTGGTGAATGCATGAGAATATCTCTATATTTTTTAATGTTATTCACCTAAAAAAATATCTTTATGCGTATAGAACATGTGCTTAGAAGGTCCCTTGCTTCCTTCGTCGTCATGTAATTATACGTGCATACCGCGCGACAGGAATTTCAATTGAGCGCTGTTTATGTGGAGAGAAAGACAACCGAAGTGAGTGTAAAACTGAGATTTTCAATCTATGAGAATTGGCGTTGTGAAGAAAAATAATTCTCCATGCTGCCTTTAAAATAATGCCAGTGTACCAAAGGATATAATTTATAGCAACGGCTTGCAAATTGTGTCGCGTTCGTTCCGATAGAGCGAAAAGTTCTACTTTCACTTCACTCTTACGACATCACGCAAATGTGATGCGCATTAGCTGCATGTTTGTCGTTAATTCTAATGCACTTGTTACATACGATTATTTCTACACTCGTAGTTTTTTTTTTTAAATTTCTCTCTGTAGCTTTAATATCTGTTGAGAACCGCGGATGAAATTCATATCGTCGACAAAGCGATACATCCATCTTCTTTTTAGGTGGCAGATATCAGATTCTATCCAGCTAATTTTAAACTTTGTGTAGATAATCAAATTCACTTGAACTCTCAAGTTTACAAATATGCTTCAGTAATGAAATTGTAGGCGTTACTTGGCGATAAATATTTATCACTCTTGGTGATTTGCTTAGGTTTCATTTTTTTCATGTTTATCGTTCGGATGAACGACAGCTAATTAATTTATGAAAGACAGCTAATTAATCTGTTGTAACAATAAATTTCCAACGTTATCCAGAAAAGACTTCACTTAAGAATCTCTCAAATAATAATTGTGCAGTTGTGCTCAAATCTAATCGCGCAGTTTTACGTTAATTCCCATGTGATTACACAAGTCGAGTCCAGCAATAATCAACATTTTTCCGTTTGAATACAGCACTGCGTGCGTAGGCATGAGAGATTTACGTAACAATTGTGTTCTGCTTTATGAAACGTGGTTCTCCGCAGCACTCGAGAATTGTAACGCGGCGTGGCAATGGGAGATTAAGCAAAGAACACACGTGTCCCTCGCAACGCGATCCGCTCGCATCATCGATAAATGTATCAACGCGACGTATATTATCACCTGCGACACATGAAACTCGGCTAAATGCGAACTCTCAACTCATCACTTTGCGATCTCGTTTGTTATTAATTTAATTTTATACGACAAATGTCCGCATAATTGATAATAAGATTCGAATGTTTGCTTTCGTCGTCTATTCTGTTGCGAATATATACCTCGTTTTATTGCAAATTTCTATACATATCTCAAAAGGAAAGACGTCAAATTCAACACACTATACACGATATGCAAAGAGAAGCATGGTATTACGTGAACGTGTAAGAAAATGTGCACTGACTTTGGCTTCTTCGCGACTTCAATTTGCTGGCGGTCTTTCCCATTTTCGCGCCAGTCGCATGCCAGCGATTTCCTGATCGCGCCGCGAAGATTTGGACTCAATTGCACTGCTATAAGCGGGGTGGTCACGGCTCTGATACACTGACACGACACGGCTGCGGCACCGTGCAACGCAGTCTGACCGTAGCATAATGCGATACCGAGCTAACTGAGCGCAAACAGCAGAAGAAGGGACCCAGACTCGAGCGATACGCAAGTGGCGGTCGTAGAAGGAGAACGTGACCGGCAACGACAGGAGGAATGCAGGGTGCGGGGGAGACTGGTGGAACGAGAGAAAAAGAGAGAGATATGTAGAGTGCAAATGAATTGGAAGAGAGACGGCAAATGTGGCAGAAAAGGAAAGAATGAATAGAGACGACTGTCGTTTAACAAACGACACTGTCGCCAGACACAACGTATGATGCTCTTCGATCGTCTGGGCATTTAATTTCATTATGTTCTTGAATTTGCAGATCAATAGCAGACTATAAAGCACTGATTAAAACAAATTGCATATTGTTCCTTAAAATTTGTAGTCACCCTTCTTTCACATCCTGACTTGCATTTAATTTTTGAAACGTCATCGTTTTATTTCAATCACTAGTACTTGAAAAAGTTGTTCCGAAATTTACTGAGAACCGTGAGTGAGCGAAAAAAACAGAAATAGGTATACTAAGTAACCAAAGTGAGATAAGAACGTTTCTGAAGGACGCTCTTGATGAGGTTTCGGGTAGGCGACTCGGGTGGGCGACGAGAAAGAGCACGATTGTTCGCAGAGAGATTGAAAGATTTCAATGAGAATAGAAGAGAGAGAGACAGAGAGTGGTACGTGCACAAGTGTCCGACACGCGGATATAAAGCTTGGCGAGAAGAGAGTCAGCTGCCTGTGATGTCACAGAGAACCCGGATTCGTACCAGCTAAACGGCTCCTCGCATTAATCCGAGGTTGCCCTTTCTTTTAGCGGCAGTTTTGCAAGGACGCGACACATGCAACGATTTATGGATCTGCAAACCACCTGTTGGATATTTCGATATCTGAGCTATCGTGCATCGGAGTGGCGCCCAAATTTTATGTTGTTTTCGTCACGATCGCAAATTTATGCAATTTATAAATATAATATGATAAATTGATAGAATCAATTAAACGCATCATTTTAGCCGCTTAGGCCCCGCTATCGCCTCGCTACCGCTTAGGCCTCGTTTATTGGTGCTGTTTGTCAGAATACATCGAGTTTTACAGTCAGTATTTTTTTTTTTTTTTTCTATACAACGATTTCTGCCGTACACATTTTCTCTATACATCATACATACATGGAATAGATATTTTGTATACGCACCTCGAGACTAAATCTTGTGATGTCGTTTTACTTAGGCTTCGAAAGACCAACTCATAATGCGAGAATCAGTTTTTTTACAATACGCGACAATTTGCCACGACAAATATATATATTTCTCGCATAAGAGATATAATTGCTAAACAAATTACATTTTTCTATAAACAAATTGACATTTTGGTCAATCTTTGTGCCGCAACTCTCTCACTTCCCCTCCCCTTATTTCTTTTCAAAGAGATCTTGTTCAAAAATGTGTACTAATTGATGGACCTATTCTAACATGCGATGTCGATCGTTGACATATTCTTGCAAGTTATAAACTGTGTTTCGATTTATCGTAACTGAGCTCGAAAGTCGTCGGTGCAAAATTTATCGATGGATGATTTGGTACGTAAAAGATGCTCTCTTTTAACTATAATATATAATACACATCGATTTACGATGCTTCTCGCGTGCAGTGATCGAATATCGACGGTTATATAAATATTTCCTCTGGCCTCGCTATCTGCCACTTCTCAAAATATTTACAGCCAGATGAAGTACCGAGAATAACGCAGAGATATAAATAATACTTCACTAATTCGTAAAGCTTAGTCGTTAAAATATTTCATGCTGGAAATTAAGAGTGCGAAGAACAATTTATACATTCAGATTCTGTATGCCACTCTCAGCGTTTCAAGTAATAAACGCTAGTTGCTCTTTCGTCCTTCGCGGGTTAGAATTATACATATTTATAAGATAGAAACAATAACTGTTTTCAAAGCGTTAAAAAATAATTTGTTAATTATGAATCAAACAGCATTCTTGGACTAAAGAAATAGTCAATGATTCAACGATACGATTATGACTATTTTATCCGACAATGAGTAACTTTGTCCGTTAATAAGGCTAATCGGAAGCACCGATTGTAACGCTAAGCAGTCGCTTCGTCACTCTTCCTTGCGTTCTAATCGATTTACTAACATTTTTTTTTTTGCATCCCAGATCGCACGCACTCTTCATTATTATCTTTCAACTCTCTGTCTCTGTATCGTACGCACGCATAAGCACACACAAATATAAATGAGCAAATAAACATTGTGCAATATGAACGTTTAACACTTACGTTTCAAAATGGATTTTATGAGCTCATTGAAAAATTATTTTTATCCGCGTTAAAAAATTATTTATGTCCAAATTCACTTCATAAGACGATTTAATTCTCATGGAAGTGTAACGAATAGTTGAGATGTATGATTTTCTTTCAGCGTCAAAGAAAAAGATACGAATATACGAAGAGAAGAATATGTCATTAATCTTTAAATACTTTCGCAGAATCTTTTAGGTATCTCAACTTTACAATTTCTTTACAACTAATTTTTTTTTGTTCTTAAGTGTAAAGAATAAATAGTCACACTCTATACATTGTTACTGGTAGATGAATTAATAACATAAAAGTGTTTTGTTCTCTTAAAGGAGTTCAAACTGCTTTAAAAGAATGAGATTTTCTCAGAAGACTTTGCTTTAATTAATTTTAAACGTTTGCACGTATATAAGAAAATTATTGGCCAACAAAATAGATACATTTCAGGAATATCCTGAAAAGAAAGTATAATATCGTATAGCCAAACTGTGTATAATTGTTTCTCTTTCTCTGCAAAATGCAAGACAAAATTATTTTTATAAAAACAAATATAGGCAGGTATTGTATTATGTATTTCGCTAGAATATTTTTCGAACACTGTTTCGCTCTTCAAGGATTCGCATTAACGTCGCCTCGTTTGCGGGCTCGACAATCTAGATTACTTTCATGCGTTTAATGAGTTTTGATCATCTCTTATTTCACAGAAAATCACTACTTGAAAAATCGCTAAAATTATTTAACTAATATTCTTGGTAAGAAGTAAGAGAGATCTTTGCGTTCTTCAACACTCGTTCAACACTCGTTCCTTTCAAATTCTTTTTATGAAGAATTGGATTTCTTCTTGCACAAATATTACAACAAAGCAATGTGTTTTATTTTCTTTTAAAACACGCGAATCACGACAAAAACGTTTTGTGATGATGGACTTTTTGATGATCAACTTTCCGTGTGTTCACGTAAAGTACAGAACTCTGGGCAGGATCTACAACTTTCGACCAATTTTTGTAGTTCACGCTTATTGGCCTCCTGATCACTCGCATTCTTAACAATGAGTCCTCGTAACTAACTGATATGTACGCCAGTAGATTCAATACAAAAAGTTTTAATGAAATTACAAAGTCTAAAAAGTAGACTCGAAACGTCCAGCTCTTGGACAAATAACTTCACGTTGAAAAATGGTATCGGAATAGGCCGATCGTTACATAAGTTGTATGCTTCAACTTTCCATAACTTTCGATACAGATATACCTATAATACCACATAAAATAATTCGTGCAACGTATTTACGTTGTCACAGCGATACCACTGATACGATCAGGAGACTATTGGGTTTTTGAAAAATATAGACGTACAAGTATCAGGTGTAAAAAGGTTTGTCGCGTCTCCGTGAATATTTATTTCAAATAAAGTTATTAATTTCCATTCTGAGAGTTCGAAGTTTTTTAAATCGAGTGTATAAAAACTTGTTTCCTAATAAAAAAAATGTCTTGAAGTCAATGGCGACTATTTTAGTTCATAAAAGTTTATTTAAAATCCTGCAATTCTGTCTTTGATCTTGATAAAACTTTTTGCACCAACCTAATATTTCGGGCTTGATCCGGCTTGATCAACATAAGATCTTCATAGTTCAAGTTTTGATAGAAGGATATATGAAGTGTGCTTGCACGTCAATGCTGAAATGACGTCGCCTTTCTACGCACACAAACTTTAAAGTATATATTTTTTTACTCTTGTATGTTTACACGATAGCCCTGTCATTCTGTTGTAAAAGTTCAACTGGAACGAGCGCGACGCAATTGACTGTAATAAAATGCGCACCGATGATCGGCGGATTCTTTCTACAATTAGTTAGTTTTTAAGCACCAATCACGACAACGATAAACGACTCGCGTTCAAAATGCCGTAAATATTGAAAATGACTTTGCAAGAAGTCACGCCAGCTGACGCGGATTTCCGCAACGTCGTACGACACAGTTACACACGTTACACCGAGTACTGGGAAAATAAGTCTACGAGAGAGAAGGAGACACATTTAAACAGCAGAGTATTTAAACAATCTAAATATGCGATACAGCAATAGAATATATATTCTTTATATTTTTAACAAATACGTTACTTTTGAAAGGCAAGCGCAAAAAAAATGCTAAAACCTGTTTTCTTGAATATAAATTGTTCAAAACTGTTGCACTGTTCAAATGTATGTCGTACTCTGCTCCAAGTTCGATAAGTGGACAGCTTTTGTATAAAGAAATCAAGAAATTACTTCTTGATTTCTTTGATAGAAGAATAGTACAATTGGCTGCCTTCAACTGTTTCGCGTATCCAACTTTAACATTTCATTCCCAAAATAATTTATCTCACATTCGTACGCTGAAAGCATACGAAGTCTGTTCATTCCGTTGTACGCGCGAATGACTCCTTTTCTACATTGAAATACGCTCAGATATCTCTTCGACATTGCACATAGAATATAAATTGCGTAACGCGATGCTGTCGTCGAAGCTCACTTTAGGCTCGCTCGCTCTTTAGGCGCCATTTTTCTGTTTTGTGCGTGTAATAATCAGGTAGACGTCTTGCCCATTAACAGGAACCGGAAGAAGCGACGATTTACAAGAGAGCGCAGGCAGTACCATGCATCACCTCGGAAATGAACATCGGTGTACCGGCACTGAGACCACCGTCGCCCTTTTCTTGCTCGTCCTTCTCGTAATCGCAATCGAAATAATGACTCTGCGACAGAACGCGTTTTATAATGATGCAACGTAATTTGCTCTGTCAGAACTTCAATTAAAACATCGTGGACAGACCAACAAAATAAATGAGTAGAGAATAAAATTTCTACTTTAAACTAATTCTATTTCAATTCTATTTCAATTTTAAAATCATACATGTTTATAAATTAAGCATCTGTTTCAAAATAAGCAACTTTTGACATTGATTTTTTTTTATCATAAAATAAAAATCGGCAACTAAATTTTCGAATCTCTAATATATTTTGCAAATGTACCTGGCAATCCAAACATCTGCAATGATCGCTCATTTTGCAAGTTATACCCCACTGTTTGGCCATCGCTTTGTAGAACTCTTTGCTGGATTTGTGAAGTATTTTCGGCCCCTTGGCTGCTTTCCTGTCCCCACCTCCGGGACCGCCGCTACCATCGTCACCCCCAACAATGTTCTCAGCATCTTCTGTGCTCTTTTCGTTACTAGAAACCTGCTTCTCCTTATCCCCATCCTTCGCCTCTCGCAGTGCGATAGCTGATGACTCCATTCGTGTCTAAATTATTACAACAGTTTTTACATTAAATTAAATTTTCGAAAAAATGAACAGAGAATTCTACCGAAATGTTTATTGGGAATTAAAAAATTTGTTTAATCTTATTTTTATATTGCTCTATAATAAACTTACAATCCGGAGTAAAATTAATCAATTGAACTTAGAAGACGCACTTACCTCTTCAAGAACGTGCTCGTACGAGGGCGGAGGCGAGCTGGGAATCGTCTGCTCGTTTTTAATCGACAAACAATTCTTGTCCGTTTCCGCCTCAAGTTCATCCGTAAACACATCCGTACCTGAAGGCAACGACTGATTGATTTGCCGTTGCTGTTCCTCGGATTCCATACTATTGCTGCGACTATCGCCGGAACTCCGCGACTTCAGCATCTTTGAGAAACGGAGCTTGAATGGCGCCAGTTTGACGAGTTTCTTCGTTCCCGTAGTCTACGGGAAAAGGGAATGTTCTCATTTGCAAAACAACCGCAAAGAGAATTTTTTACTATATCGACACGAGCCAAAGGCGGAGGTGCAATGAAAATGAGATAATCGAGCAAAACAAATCGAGAAGTGCACAGTGCCGAAAAAACTTTGTATCAATTCGACTCAAGAAAAACACCATATTGACAAAACATTTTTTAGTGCAAAGTAAGTGAATTGAAATAAGAACTTTTCTTCATATCTGCGAGTTCACGCAACTGCACCGGATGCATCTGTTGACCTACTGACCGAGTTTGCGGATATCGGTCGACGTAACGCCACTCGACTTGGCACATTTGCGGCCGACTTTACAGACACGAAGCTTACCCCGCCCTTAAGATTCTTCCGGAAAGGAAAGGCAGATGGAATCGAGAACGATTCTGAAGAACGATTCTGACATGTGCATCGCTCGATATTATCATTTAAATTCGATGCAGCGCGTGGAAATAATATTTATTATTATCCTTCTTCTTTTGTTTCAAGTAAAATGTAAGAGCAGCTTATTGTTACTAGAGAATTATTTTTTTATATCGTATATATAATTGTATCAACTATTATATATTATTATTAAAGCACTTATAAGAATGCGTTTAATCGAGTTCGAAATAAATTCGAATTTTCCGAGAATCGCAATTAATTGAGCTTCGTTATTGAGTATGATGGATGATGGATCATAAGATTTCGAATTAGATGTCGCAGGTTCTCAGGGCATACAAAGAAGGGTGAAGATTGATCTTCATCGTGATGGAATAAAACTACCAGATATATCAATTTCTGGATCTGTCGAAGTAAGCCCACCGGATCTTCGCGATCGACACAGCCAGGACAGTCATGGCGGTTTCCCGATACGTATTCGCAAGTGGAACAGGCTCGCTTGAGGTCAGACATCGTGTCGCGAGACCGTAAACGGCAGCTGTCATTGGGATTTTGCGGCGAGGGTTGAAGATTATGGCAATTCGAACAATGCCACTTCGCTGCCATTCTTCGCGATAAAATTACATTCCTTAGGGAATTATCCCTCCCTTCCCTTTCTCCCGCTTCTCGTTATCGCGGAAACATAAAGTCGGGATTTTAATGTTTATGGCGAAGAAACTGCGGAGTATCGCTCGAACAAAGAACAACAAGATTTTAAAAGTACTCAAAGAGGAAACCGAATAGCGCACTTCAACTCAATTGAAGACTAATAACGAAAGTCTTATATTAATTAACGGCAAGGACATAAAGCTATATATTATTAACAGAAGGGTAGTAAAGCAGCTTACGCGCGCTTATGAAGCCATATAGATTGTATACAATACCGAAGATTATTAATTAGTGCTAAATATTTAATTCAATAGACGCGCATTGCATGCGCATAAAATGGTAAAGATTTAATTGTACCGTATGAAATGTGATCCGCGAGAACGGGCAAGTGTAAAATTCTGATGAAAAATTCCATCCGGACGGAAATCACCGCCCGACAGATAAGATGGACAGATAAGGCAACGTTTTATCGCACAAATGAAACAGGCGACGAAGTAGGTTGCGTCGGTCGGTAGAGGATTCACGCGCTTTCATCCACTTCCCCTTCTTCGCGTGTTCCCAGGACTAAACGACGTGTCGGTGGCCCCAGCTGATGCCAACGCACTCCTAGGCCAACACCTCTCGTCCTAGTTTCCCTCTCGCTTGGCTTCATCCACCACTCCTTGGTGCTCTCGTCTCCATCCGCGAGGTACCCAACTATCTAAACCCTTTCTCCATTTCGCAATCTCTCACAACGTGTATTTACGCGCGTCGCACCGTCTTCCACGCAGTGTATTTTCACTTATTTCCCTATTTCCCTTGTTCTATTTAGTGATGGCATTTCAAAACTCCTACTTGCAAATTTCTAAGCAAACGAAGAATGACTGAAAATAAAAAAATCTTAAAACATCTTGCAAGACTATTTTAATTTCAATTTTGAAAAGTCCTGAATGTGTATACGTGTTATATTATATTATTCAAAATATTTAGCACATTCAAGACTTTCAAGATTTTCCAATCACAACAGTCTTACAAATATGTATTGAGACTTCTTGATTTTCAGCCTCAAGATATCTCGAGACGATTCGAATCCACTAGTTTCCATTATGATGATGCACATGTTTACATCACAATTCTAGATATGTGTCCAGCTCGTCAAAATACGTTCCAGCGTGTACATTCTTGTTCGTATTTTTTGCATACGGCGCAAAAATTGATATTTGACGCAAATTGTGAAAAGAATGCCAATTTACCTCCGTAATTTCCAACATTTTAACTCTTTTTCGTCTTATCAAATTTCGCAATTTGGATATATTTTTGATTAAAAAGAAATTTACGTGTAAAGTAAATGAGCTAGAAAATTTACACTTATTATTAATAATTTACTGAAAAAGAATATATTAACAGATATAGAATAATAAAGATCTTTCTATTGGAATTTTTTTCTTCAACGAATACATTTGATGCTGGATGTGAAGTGCAAATTGTACAGCCTACATTTGAAGTAAATTATTTTTCTTCTTTTAATCATTCTATTAGGACATAATTCTTTATCCACGATTTACTTTCGTTATTACTACGTTTTATTATTACTTTACAGAATTGAAACTCCAGAATTGAAAAGAGTTGCTTTGTATGCGTGTTAAAGTTAACGGGAATAAATGCGCAGTTTAAATGCCCACGGGAAGTTCCGATCGAATTGGGGTTTTCAGCGCGAATCGTATTTTGTAAGAGATAATTGTGTCACCGGCGGCGATGCAATGCCAGTGACACCCGATTGCAAAATTTCCAGTGGATTTGGGTCACTCGGTGTCCTACAGTTCGACGGTGCATTAATGACAGCTGTGCAAGTGAAATATCGTGCTCGAGAGGTATTCTAAAACTTTCTGCCAACTGACGTAGCTAATAATTCATCTCTTATTCACCTCTCATAATTTATGTTACGTACAGGATCTGATGTGCAATTAGTAATTAGTCAAAATGTAAGGAGTAATTCGGAAAGTAAGAATAATTTGACGGACGGAGTATTTGAAACTTGCGAAACAATTGCTAATTTCGTCAAATGCTGGCTGTCTTAAACGTATGCATAATAATCCCTATTGATAGCCACTTGGAACAATCCTCTAAAATATCAGCGCTCTCGTGTCGCGCTTTCAACAAGCAATATCACAAACTGTTCTGAAACAATCGAACCACGCTTGACATTGCCGTTACGTTATTGCCTACCACATCATTTACCTATGTCCTATGTGTCGCGCTATCGATATGAAACACACTCTATCGGGTTATTGAAACTTTTCGCGTCTCTGGACTATACGGCGTTCATGCTGACACAATATGTTAACAAACGAGAACAATCGCCGCTGCGTAAGTTGCAATCACGTATGGTCAATCGTGTGGCTAAAACTTGGAAACATTTGTATTTCTCTCTGTCACAGTTGTTTTCACGTGTAAAACTAGATTTTTAAATAAAAACTGTATTCTGAATAAAATTATTTCAATAATAAATGTGGAAAGACAAGGTAAAGTTCAGTAATGGAGTACAATAAATCTTTTTCGGTCTTATAATCTTGTGTATACAATGACCAATATTCAAAAATAAGATATTGATTTTTTATGCACAAAATTGGTAATTAAACTCTCGAATGAAATTTAAAAAAAATTCCAAATAAAAAATTCTGCTAGAATTTAAATAAGAATGTTTAAAAAGATCGTTATAAATTTTTTAATGTAAAAAGTTTGACGGTACTATTCGCGCTTATTATGTACTTTATAATTACGTATTATCATCAATTATAAGTTCATCTAACTGTAAGTTTCTCATGAAGACTCTGGAAGATATGCTTGGCGCGTTCGAATAGTGAACACGTGAATAATAAGTGCAGTGCAATAAGCAATAAAGACAAAAATAAAAATCTCAGAAAGAGAGCGATAAAAGCGGGCCTGACAAAGCGGGCCAATAAATTGCAAACAATTTTTGCAGCATTTCAATGAACAGGCAATTTTGTATTTATCATGATACATCAATTGCATCAACTGTAAAATATAGACAGATTGCAAATATTGGCTAATGTTTTATCGCTATAAATTTTTTCTAAAAAAATACTGAAAGATTGACTTCAATCAACTTTATCGCAATTTGCATTGCATCAAAGAGATTGATAAAAAAGAATATCTCTCGATAAAATCGGATGCATCATCAAAGAGCTTTAAGAAAGATGGTCCGAAAGAACGAAATTCAGTATCGACTTTATCAAAGTAAGACGGCATTGTGCATGCGCAATATTTCTTGAATAAGATTTGTTCTTTTTGCGACTATACTCAGCACATGATGGAATATAATTTAAAGTTTATGTTTCAAGACTCTTTCTTCTCACAAAATTTTTTCTATAAAAATAATACATTACAAAAAAAAAAACTAATTCTTTAATATTTAACATTCTTTCAATATATCTTTTCAATATATAGTACTAAAAAAAGTTTTGCTCGACATTATTTATTGATTTCTACATGGAAAACCACTCACCAAAAAAGTATTTTTTTATTGTAAGTGATTTTCCATGTATTAATAAATAAAAAATGTGAAGAAAAATGTTTTTTTTTGTATGACGCTAATCTTCCACACAAGTATTTGGCATCACGAACATAATATATTATATTCTGTCGTCAATCCCAATGTGTTAAGAAATTTATCGTAAATCCATAAATATGTTAGTTGAAAGATATCTTATAATATAAATTTTATTCAAATTGATTCTGTGTTTGTATTGAGGCATTACTAACGCAAAAATTTGCAATAATGAATGTGAAAATTATGATTTATTAATCGTTGTGTTAAGTTATTTCATAAAAACTTTCAGTACTACCGAAATTATGCTACAGCGATATGTCACAAACATACGGGAATACTTTCATTGCTTGCAACTGAACATTTCGGTAAAAAAATATATCAGATACTCTTTGAT